AAAAAAACCTTTGGAGGACCCAATTAAAAAATAATAATTTCTGAAAAACTTCGTTGATTTTAAAACTTAACACGTTTAGTTAGTGCACAGATGATTATATTTTTTTGTAATAACTATCACACAAGCACTTTTTGACGCCTTTTTGTAGAGAAGGTCTTGAAATATTAACGACATATAACTCGCCATTGCGATTCTTTTTCCATGCTGATCAATTATTTGCCAATTTTCGACCAAACTTCATTACAAACGACGTTGGCCAATAATAACTCTATCTAGGACTGTATATTTGTGTAGTTTTGTGCTAGCGCATTGGAAAATAATTTGGCATAAAACATGTCAATTTTTGGTCAAACTTTATGAAAATACAATTAATATGTCCAAATAAACCCCAATAAATGTAAAATATCGTAGTCCAAACTTAGTTGGGAAAAAGTTGACTAATTTCTTTCCCAAAGCATGGCTCTCTGGGGGATGGCTTCGCGAAGCTCATGGACGTAAAAACTTGTAACTGGGCAGTAAGAGCCTAATTGGCTCCAGTCCAATTCTCTCGAAAGATATAGAAGAAGAAGAAGAAGATTATTGTTAAGGTGAAGTGAGATGGTCTGCTATTCTCTATGTCTCTCTCGCTCCGTATGAGGTCACGTTCGTCAAAGATAACCACTTGTTCCAATGTAAAGTAATGTAATTTTGGGGAGCGCGTTCACGTTTTATTAAATTAACAATTAGGACGATCGAATTATTAAAACTGATTGTGAGAGAAAATTGTTTTAAGGATTTGTAATTTGTCATTGTGCCAATGTATTTTTTAAACTATATATGCAATGCATATTATGCATATCAAATTTATCCCTTCTTTTGCTTAGGGAATCAACATTAATCAAGTGTCTCAATTGTACATAATCATAGTCATCAACAATTAAATTTAATTTAAATGCACAAAATCTTAAAAATTTATTTTATACTCTTTCTATTTGCATACAATAAGTTAAGTAGTGAGGAGACCATACTACACAACCATATTCCAAAATACTTCGAACAAATGAAAAATACACATTTTTTATACACATCACATCATTAAAATCTTTTAAGTTCCGTTACATTTACATTTTCTAAAATAACATCATTAATACTATAAGAAAAATTTATTTTATTTTTTGTCCTAAAAAATTTATTACTTTGCATTTTCTAATATTTAAAGATATACAATTATCACTGCACCGGTGCAGTGATAATTGTATTTCTTTAATCTTGGCCAAGATTCTAAATTCTTAATATCCACTTGAATTTTTTTACAGTCAACTAAACTGGACACTACACTAAATAATTTAAGGTCATCTGCAAATAATAATACCTTAAATTTTATCCTACTACAAATATCGTTTATAAAACAGTTAAAACGTATTATGGTACGGTATAAAAAAAGTACAAATGAACTATGAAATTAAGTAGGTAGTTTAATATGGAGTTATATTTTTTTTAAACAAAAGTATAAAATAAAACCAATTATATCATTTTTACCTAATACAACAAAAAATACCTAAATCTCTGTACTTTATATTAAAATAATGAAGAAATTAAAATATTTATCTTCAATTGGTTATTGTTGTTAACACTCATTACTGTAACTAAAGTGAGTGATTATGACCTAGTCACTTAAAAATGATTTATATCAAACAGGTTACGTTATTAACAGCCTAGGCTGTAAAAATCATTATTTTCTACTTTGGATCAATAAAAAAATCGAATCGACGTTGCTGGTGGGGCCTGCCATACGTTCCTTATACTAATACTCGTACAAAAAACATCTCACCCCGTTTCCCCAACTCACACAGCTTGGACATTTTATTCAACCGTCACTAAAAAAACCTTTGGAGGACCCAATTAAAAAATAATAATTTCTAAAAACTTCGTTGATTTTCCTGGATTTTTATTGGGAATTACACCACCTAGAACAGGGATGGCGAACCTTTTTTAGTGTGCGTGCCAAAAAACTTTAAAAAAAAATTTCAAAATGTAACGTGCCACATGTAAATTTTTATAAGTGTTATGAAGATGAAAGTATACAAAAGGGCCATTCCACGCTTAACGGATAGGACAGTTGCCGTGTTTTTATTTACAAAATAATATTGTTCTATTATATTACCAATGTCAAATTTTTATAAATAGTTCTAAACAAAAGCTGTTTAACAAGGTTTTTATTTGGCAAAATTAGGTATCGTGATTGACTGTTTAATTCCTTAAAAATTAATAATTTAAAGCGTAACGGGCGGGACTATTACATATATACATCCCGCTTACAATGCTGCATCATTTCAAAGTACCGTCATTATAGCGTCTACCAGAAATACTGCAGTATATCGTGATTTAACATTGCAGAAGTGTTAATTAGACAAAATAATGACCGAATTTAACGTTAAATGTTTATAAACCCTTTTTTAAACTAAAAATTCATGTTACTATCATTGCTGCTTCTTTTTATTTTGCCATCATTTCTGCGTCGATGTATATCGAATTTGTTAAACCATCATTGCTGCAACAAAAGTGAATATTTTTTTCAACTCCCCCGTCTTTTCTGCGTCACCCATGTTGCCAGATCTTGTCGACGCATCATTGATGGTCTTTCGTACTAGGATTTGAATATTAAATTTATTAAAATAAATATTTAAAATCATAATACCCAATAACTTCGTTGTGCGTTGTGACTTGTTTTTAGCGCATATACTCGTATATCAACGCTCACAAATAAAAGGCAAAATATAAGTTCTTTAGAAATAAAATGATAAATTTGTTATGTATAATTTGTTGTCATTCAATAGTTTAAGGTAGTCTGGATAAATTAAATTTTTTAGCTTTAAAGGATGTGCAGAAAAAATTCTAGCGTACGGGATTAATTTTTGATATGTTAAATTAACATACAAAATGTATGCCACTGACATTTTTAATTTTTGATAGCATAATAACATAATACAATTATGATAATTGTAGACAATAAGGTTCCTTATTGATATTTTTGTTATTAAATATTTTATTAGATTTAGCTAAGAAATTAATTAATATTTCCAAATAAGCCTTAGATATTCGCAGGACCGTTTCTAACGTTTTCTCCGTCGGGGTGGGTAATAAAATTTGCCGCTCTAATGTTGGTATAATATAAATTGTTTATAATATAATATGTATTTATACATATTTATACGCCTCCTTAGATTAGGAGCACTTTTTTAATTACAATTTATTACAATAATTGTAAATTATTTATAAAATATTCACAGGCCAAAGCATTTTTTTAAATTGTAATTAAAAAATTTTTAAGTGCTCCTAATCTAAGGAGGCGTTTTTGCCAAAACCTTAAATAAAAAAGGGATTATTTTAAAGGATTTTTAAATCTTTATTTAACTACGTCTTAGAATAAGTCAAAACGGTTTAAACTTTCCAATTTAAGTTTTTTATCAATATTAATCAATTTAGGAGTGACGAATATTTATAATTTCAATTTGTTTAAACTTTTTGCCTTTTTAAAATATAAAGGGCCAAATTGTATGTAAAAAAACTAAGGATGGTGTCTTTTTAATATTTTGAAAACGCCACATTTGTCCTAGGACAGCCGTTTACTTTCCGTCCTGAAATGTAATCAGCTGTTTACTTTCGTCTTTGGATAATATCATTATTATTATTGTAGCTGTCATCACATATCGTCCCAATTATCGTATGGTAGCGTATCTTTAATTTAACAATTTTACAGAGCATTTTAAAGATTGAAAGTTTTTAGCTAATTTAGAATATTTTTTGGAAAAAAATATCGAAAAATATGCTGTATCTATATCTTTTTTTACCTGCGTGTGGAAAGTTTCTACAAAAGTCAGTGTCAATTAATTTTTAAGAAAATAATGAACCACCGTGTAATCGTCATAGTAATGATAAATCTTAGTAGGATTATACTACCGCGGTATACCGTGGAGAAAGAGTTCAATTTTCTCCACAGTTTAAGACTGAGCCACTTTCTTAATTGAAAAAGTATAGGAAATGTACAAATTCTTTAATATGATTAGAAAAATATATTTACAGAGCATGACTCAAAAAGTATGTGGAATCCAAAAATGCAAATAAAAGGGATATTTTTATTAAAAATAAGAAAGTTGGAACCGTCCCAGAGAAAACCAAATATCTATAAGTAAAAATATTATTAAAAAAAAATTGTATTAGTTCATTAGTATTTAGTCATTTCATTTGACAAAAACAACAAATTATATCAACCTGCAAAGTTACAAGAGCCCACAGCACTTCTAAGTTTGACGGGTCAAACTCAAAAGACAGCTCATAGAATAACACAAAACCACGTTTTTTTGAGTAAGAAGTTAGGTTATTGTGTTAATCATTTTACATTCTCATTAACAGTCATGATTTCAACGAAAATACCAATCACATAATTTACCTACTACATTTACTACACAATAATTTACTATGTTCTGTGATTTACTACATACTACATTTACTACATAGTCAATGTATAAAATGTAATAAACCCAATTTTTACGTCAGTTTCCCATCCCTGGGCTGGAGGCCTTACAAACGGGACAAATATTACTATTTTTACTCTTTTTTATTCTTAAAGTTATAGATATAATTATAATTATTAAAAGGAACTTGGCAATAATAATTTTATAAAACAAACTGGCTACCAAACACTTATACTAAAATTCACATTAACACATGCGACGCAACATTGCTGCGTTCGTTTAACGATCTTCGTTATTTATGCGTCGAATAATATTAAGTACATTGTATCGACGTTGCTGCGTCGTACATTGTTGTCAGCTTCACTTGATGCAGGATTACCGTAAGTTTAAAAGAAATATTCACTTTTTCAATATACACCAAATTTAAAAGCGCACCCTTGCGGCAAACTGCCAAACTTCATATATATATATATGTATTATATGTATAAAATAATTTGTAATATAATGTATATAATAATTTACAATATTAAATGTCATTTGTTTTAGGCTCAAGGACTGCTTTACAAAAAGGAGAAAAATACAACCTTGACGCATCATATGTATTTTTGTATGAGGGATTTTGGACATCATATTGGAGAGGACACCGAAATATATTTTTCTCTTTATGACTCGTTTAAACAAAAGTTTATAACAGAACGTTTTTTAGTAAAAATATCTAAGGAAGGCTTTTCAAATTATGTTGATAAATTACACAGTAATTGTACCGTATTTACTGTAAGTAGATATTGGGCTGATAATTTTTTTTAGGAATAATACATTTAACTTTTAGGATTTAGGCAACTCAGATATGACAAAAGATTTGTATATAGTAGCACAAGTAATGAGAGTTGGAAAAATGCTTTATTCAGATAATTCTAAAAAGACAGATAAAACTATTACGCAATATCAAGCATTTAAAAGGCCGCATGGGGTGGCTATTCAAAATCTTGGTGATTTGTTTAACAATAAAGAAGAAACCGAGGAAAAAGAGTTTAGTTTAAAGGTAATATTGTATACGGGGGTCGTTCGAAAAGTTATCGGTCTAAAGTATAGATGTCGCCAGTGTGACCATAATTCTATTATATCATTAAAGTAAAAACCTTCAGGTGGCGCTGTGCAAAGATTTATAATTGTACGTTTAGTGGATTTATCGGAGCAGTGAGGTTAAGAACAATAACAAACATTAAAACATTAATGGCTTAATAAAACATGTGTTCTAAGTAATCTCTTAAATTGTTGAATATCATCACAGAGTTTAATATCTTTGGGCAATTTATTAAATTCTAAAAAACCTTTATACATTATAGAGTTTAGCATTTGACTAGTGTTGCACTTATCAACTAATATAAAATCATAACAATATCTCGTTTTATATGAGTGGACCTCCTTAAAATATTGTGTTTTTTCACAGATATAATAAGGTAACATATTATGTTTTACTTTAAAAATCAACAGAAACACATTAAATATATTTTTTTGTTTGACAGAAAGCACATTTAGAACATTCAACATAGATAAAACAGGTCTATAATAATTATATTTTAATATTGTTCGTAAAGCTCTATTTTGTACCACTTGGAACTTTTGTATCATATAATTTGGTAAATTGAACAGAATGGTGGAGCAGAACTCAAGATGCGGTGATGCTATACTGTTGTACAATAACAATTTTGTATGCATCGTTAAGTGTTTACTAATTCTAGAAATAAAGCTAACTTTTTTAGAAAACTTTTCCAATATATAGTCTGCGTGAGCATGGAAATTTAACTCATTGTCAAATATAACACCCAGGTATTTAATCTGGTTTTCAGGCATAATATTTATGTTATTTATCACAATATTGACATTATCAGGGGTCCTACCTGTCATAAAATCATAAAATGTCATAAAATAGACAATATGTCCTAAAATTGTCATAAAATCAAAAATTTTGAAACCTTAAAATAACCAATCGTATTTTTGAAGAAAAACAATTTTATCTTATTAAATCATTAAAATACATTTAAATATTCCCGCCATTTTTGGCGGCCAAATTTTGGCCACAACATAACCTAACATTTACATATGTTTTGAAAACATTGTTTTTCTACGAAGGCGTAGAAGGGCCAACAAAAATTTTACAAATTTTAGCCAAAATTAACTTTGATTTTTGCAATTTCTATTCTATAATTGTAACTTGAACCTACAATTGTAACTTGAACCTACAATTGTAACTTGAACTTACAATTGTAACTTGAACTTACAATTGTAACTTGAACCTACAATTGTAACTTGAACCTACAATTTTAACTTGAACCTACAATTGTAACTTGAACTTACAATTGTAACTTGAACCTACAATTGTAACTTGAACTTACAATTGTAACTTGAACCTACAATTGTTACTTGAACCTACAATTGTAACTTGAACTTACAATTTTAACTTGAACCTTAGACTGGGCCAAAAAAATCAACTTTTTTTTATTTTGAAAAGTATATCGAAAATATGGTAGGTATATTAAGAGGTCTATCATCGCAATTTTAATTTTTTTTTCCTCAGCAAGTTTTTGTCTCAGAACTCCCAAACCATTGAGTTTAACAAAATTGGCTCGAAAATATTATTTTAAGAAAATTAAATGCTCTACAAAAAAGGTTAAAGTGAAATTTTCCGTCAGATGGACCGTTTCCTGAAAATCATGCCTTAAAAATTGGTATACTTTTACATTTTGATCTTTTAAATTGGAATTTTGTAATTCATGTAAAAATCAGTACCCATAAAAAACCGATAAATATTCTTATGGGAAAATGCTTTACAAAAAAAGCCTCTTGACATTTTTCGGCTAAATTCACTCAATCAAAAGTTATTCAAGGTTAAAATTTCGTTTTGACTTCAAATTTACCCTTGAATAACTTTTGATTGAGTGAATTTAGCCAAAACTTTCAAAAAAAATTAAAATATGTATATAAAACTTTATAACGTTGTTTTGGCGCGTTTCTCTCAAAAATCTCGGGCGCCAATTTGTAACGTTGTTTTCTTGGCGCTTGCGTTGGCGCCCGAGCAGGGACTTGAAATTTCTTAATATTCAAAAGTACACATTTTTTTAAGATTATTTATATTTTTATAACTTGTAAAATTTCCAGAATTTTCAAAACTTATTACCGGGTTTTTTTCGCGCTTGCTTACCTTCCGAGTTTTTCTTACAAAAATCTCTGCCGCCAATTTCTAACGCTGTTTTCTTGGCGCTTGCCTTGGCGCCCTCTGCTCAAATAGAATTTAAATTGAAGTTTGCGAAAAAAAGTTAGTTTTTCCTGTCGCCTCACCCGCCTCCAGGCCCCCCTATTTAAGATAATTCAAATTAAAGTGGTGCAATTTATTATCTACTATAATTTATAGACAAATTTAAAATTTTATTTAAAAAATCCAAATATTACAGATTTTATTCGATTTTAAATTTTTATTATTTATTTTATTAAAATAAAAAAATATTTAAAATGGTATAAAACCTGTAATATTTGGATTTTTTAAATAAAATTTTAAATTTGTCGATAAATTATAGTAGATATTAACTTGCACCACTTTAATTTGAATTACCTCAAATAGGGGGCCTGGAGGCGGGTGAGGTGACAGGAAAAACTAACTTTTTTTGCAAACTTCAATTTAAATTCTGTTTGCGCCGAACTTGTTTATTTAATGTCATTATAAACTATTATAAATTTGGTGTGGGTCCCATGTCTAATAACTGAGATATTGTATACATAAAATCCACCAGCCGCCACTGGAATATTGTAATTAATGTAAAAATCAGTACCCTGAAAAAAAAAACGATAAATATTCTTATGGAAAATCAAATGCTCTACAAAAAAGTCTTTTATCATTTTTGGCTAAATTCACTCAATCAAAAGTTATTCAAGGGTAAATTTGAAGTCAAAACGAAATTTTAACCTTGAATAACTTTTGATTGAGTGAATTTAGCCAAAAATGTCAAGAGGCTTTTTTTGTAAAGCATTTTCCCATAAGAATATTTATCGGTTTTTTATGGGTACTGATTTTTACATGAATTACAAAATTCCAATTTAAAAGATCAAAATGTAAAAGTATACCAATTTTTAAGGCATGATTTTCAGGAAACGGTCCATCTGTCGGAAAATTTCACTTTAACCTTTTTTAGAGCATTTAATTTTCTTAAAATAATATTTTCGAGCCAATTTTGTTAAACTCAATGGTTTGGGAGTTCTGAGACAAAAACTTGCCGAGGAAAAAAAAATTAAAATTGCGATGATAGACCTCTTAATATACCATATTTTCGATATACTTTTCAAAATAAAAAAAAAGTTGATTTTTTTGGCCCAGTCTAAGGTTCAAGTTAAAATTGTAAGTTCAAGTTACAATTGTAGGTTCAAGTTACAATTGTAGGTTCAAGTTACAATTGTAAGTTCAAGTTACAATTGTAGGTTCAAGTTACAATTGTAAGTTCAAGTTACAATTGTAGGTTCAAGTTACAATTGTAGGTTCAAGTTACAATTGTAGGTTCAAGTTACAATTGTAAGTTCAAGTTACAATTGTAAGTTCAAGTTACAATTGTAGGTTCAAGTTACAATTGTAGGTTCAAGTTACAATTATAGAATAGAAATTGCAAAAATCAAAGTTAGTTTTGGCTAAAATTTGTAAAATTTTTGTTGGCCCTTCTACGCCTTCGTATTTTCCCCATACTGGAAGTATGTAATGTTTTCTAATTTCAATAGTGTGTTTTATTGTTGTTACCAACGAATTAATATCTATTTTCGGATTAAAATATAAATACTATGTCCAACACAAAAAGGCGAACTAAATATTGCGGAGATTAGTAAAGAAATCCCGAATTTTCATGGCTAACAAGTGATAAAACCAGTATATTTTGTGCAATATGTAAGATTTGTAATAAAAGTTTCAAAATCGACGGCAGTGGATTGTCACAAGTTAAAAGTCATCAAAACCGTACAAAACACCTTAATTTAATTTCTTTACAAACTAATAACAACAACCAATTGAGATTTGAAACGGATGGTCAAGGAATTGTGGCACTGGGTGCTAGGGGCAACTTTATTTTAACAAATTCGGAAAAAATTGTCAAAGCTGAAATTTCTAGTAATGATGGAAACAATAATTTGTTTTCTACAATGTTTCCTGATTCAACAGTGGCTATGGTAAGGTCGGAAACTATTTTAAGTATGATAATAATTTTAGCTGTTTTTTTTGGGAATTTAGGGATATCAAATGGCAAAAACTAAATGCAAATATATACTACAATTTGGAATTGCTCCTTACCTGAAAGCGTGTTTTAACTGATTTAAATGGAAAACCATTTACTTTTTTGTTTGATGAAACAACAACTTCGCAAATAAAAAAACAGTATGATGCTTATGCTCAATACTATTCAAAAAATGACAGTGCAATTAAAACATGTTACCTGACCTCTTTGTTTATGGGGCGTTGTAATTCTGAAGACTTACTTAAACATTTTATAGAAATTAAATATGACAAATTTACTCCTACATGTTAGTATGTATGGACCCAACGTCAACCTCTCCTTCCATAAAAAACTTGAGACAGAATTAAAAAATACTTTTCACACAAAAGTTATAAATATTGGGACATGCAATTTACATCCTTTACATAATGGATTTATTAGGGGGTTACAAAAGCTTTCTTTTGATTTTGATTCATTTGCTCAAGACGTTCATTTCTTCAAATATAGTGCAGGTAAAATTATTATTTTTAATCTCTTTATTACTGCATTTACGCGTAATTATTGTAGGTAAAAGGAAGGATTATGGAATTGTTTCTGAGGTTACAAACATTGAGACTGAATATATGCTAAGGCATGTAAATAGTAGATGGCTGTCATTGAAAAAAGTGCTGTCTAGAATTTTGGATCAGTGGGAGAATTTGAATCAATATTTTTTAAAAGAATTACCTAAAGAAAGTCGTTTTAAATATGATATTGAGAGAACTGATCGATATAAAAGAATTATACAAATTTTAAA